TTCAAGCCGGTGGTAAATATATATATGTATATATATATATATATATATATCACATATAAACGTAATTTTATTCAAGTTCGACATACGATGAATGAAAATGTAATACTACTTTTAGTTTGGTTCGTATACATGATAAATTTCAATCGCTGGTTGTACTGCTGAAGTAAGGAAAGATCGTCCATCGCTGAGAGCAACATAAAGAGGACAACATATAAGACACATGATCCGTAGGTGTCCATCCGAAGTGCGCAGATACACAATCAAAATTTTTATGGCCCTCAGAAATATCGAAGAAAGGGAGTTATAGCTACGTCTGTCTGATTCGGTCCAGAGTTCAATTCAGTGTCTTCTCTAAGCCAACGTTCTAAAAAGGACAGATGTTTAGATTACATCACTCTTTTCTCAGCTAATAGATGAAGGTAGGTCCAAGTGCACGTCAAAGAGATAGGAACAAAAATATTGGGCAAGAATCTACGCAGCTAATTTCTACATTTAACGAATTGGGACTGCAGTCAAACAAAATACTGTCTCACTAAGTAAACCATAATAGTGTCGATGTTGGTGTGTACTCCGAGCTGGAAGTGTTGTTCACAGACGTTTCGTAGTCAGACTGGGCTTAGCTACGAAACGTCTGTAAACAAAATTTTCAGGCCGGAGAACACACCAACCTCCGCATCCCGAGCTAAAATCATTCCACATTATATCCAGGCTATAGCAGCTTATGCCAAACCTCAAAATGGATATTGGATATCAACTTTGTTTGCTCTCGTGCCGCTATTCAGTTTCGTTTAACTGATCAAATCATGAAAAAAGATTTTACTCGAGTGTTGTTTGTTAAGCATTGGTTCGCAATCTAAAAACTATGGAATAATGATAAATTCGAACCCAGAAAAATAAATCTTGAATCTGTTTTATGACAGTTGTGATAATATAGAGTGTACATGGAGGCACAAAAGAAACCGGTTAAATAGTTGTGCTTTCACTAAAGCGTTCATAGACACCACCATCGGATCTATCAGTTCAGTACAGCCGCAATAGAACTGACAAACTGAAAAATGGATTGCTAGTTATAACTCACCTCTAACTCAGTTTCCTCTCTTTCAAATTCCTCTTGAAGAATTAACATTTTTGTGGTCAATTCCTCCAACTTGGGATTGATAACCACCCCTTCCATTCGTTCAATATCATCAATCTTTCCGAATTTATCGATCATTTCCCGATCGCATATAGCACTGAGTTTTTCCAACTCTTTCTGGAAAGAAAAAGCACAATATTCAATGTGGTAACTTGAGCGACCGGTACCACTCCGATTTTCAAATGACTGGAGAATGGTATAGAAATATTATTGTGTTGAAATTCATTTGTCAACAACTAAATGAGCAACTGAAAAGGATATCAAATCATGAATACGAGATCCGGTTCCTTTTGTGTGTTGACAGAAATCGGGAATTTATGAAGGCATGTTTCCATTTTTATCCCTTCCCCCCGCCTCTCGAGAGGTTGTTTGCCTCTAAACACTGTCCCATTAATATATCGTTTTCTTGGTATCACCCGGTAGCCCTGTTATTGATTGTTTTTCCCTCTCCGAAATTGGATTCTATCACTAAATATTCAATGAAGAAAACGAAATATTACTAATCAAGATGCAACTTTGCATTAGGCCCTCCACTTAAAGCAGAGTGAAACAAATGTCTAAAAATGTCTCTTTACTTCCTTTTTCTATTTATTGAATATACAAATGTACAGCCAACTTTCAGGAAGGGGGTTGCGGCCATACATTGGCTGTCTGGGGAACATACCGATATAGGGAAGACGGGCGGCGGTGGGGCGGTTTGAAACCGGGACACCCAGGTCACTAGTTGGTGACCCAACCACTTGGACACCACCGCATGCATTCAGAATAGAAAAAGATGGCGACTAAATACTATTGTGTTGTTCAAATTGTTAGAGAGATTTTTTATGATCATTAGAAAATTTTCGGAGAAGTTAAACAAAAAAATTGTATACAGACAGATTTAAGCGTGGTTGGTAGGGATCGGTAGAGTCTGGGGATGAGTTTGGAACTGTGGGACATCTGAATGCGAAGAATTAACGCGGTCCTCGTGAGTGTGCATCAGTGCAATAACACGGTAATCTAGATTAATTGACGGTGCAAAATCAAGACTGCTAATACTGGGTTTTGTAAATGTAAATGGTAGACAGAAACATACAGAGAATTATGGTAAATAAACTTTTGGGGGTCTTGAATTGATATAAGGCAAAGTAGTGATGTTCACCTTTGTGTATTCAGTTTACTGTCTAGAAGAAATGTATTACATTTTTGTGAGTTTGAGACACTCATCGAGTGTCAAGTAATCGTTTGCCGTCACCGACCCTGCTTGTAGCTTCTGGTTTCTGGATGAAGGAAATTCGTTGCGAAAGTAGACAGATTATGCTTTAATGTGGCACAGTGCATGTTTACAAGCTTGTTGCGCACATCCAACCCCTTGAGGAAGTAGATAACAATAGCAAAATCCTGCCTCCGCCCCCCCCCCCCCCCCCGAATACAGTGACGCAGTGGAGCAACAAAAAATGAAACAAACTAACCTGGAATAACTTTTTATGCTTTTGAAGCATCACGTGTTTATCTTTAGCATCCTTTTGTTCTCGTCTCTGGCGTTTCTTCTCCTCTGTCAGCGCCACAATACGTCGGTAGAGAATGTACAGATTATGACGAGCAAATATCAAACCGACAGACAAATCTGCTGGTACAGTCCCATTCACATGGTACTGGATCTGATTCATACGAAGAATTACGATCGCATCCAGCTCGTTCAATTTTCGTTGCTTTTCCAGCTGTGATCATAAGGTTGTGGTGGTGAGGATGAGGAAGCGGGCGGAGATGCATGAACAAACATTGAGAACTTTCGAAACAAAATCATCATGATGCGGTGTGAGGGCGCTAAAAGCTGACTGAGTTAGTTAGCAGTCAAATTAGTAATTAGTTCTACAGTGTGTGAGAGAGGTCACTTCTACTTCTATGACTGCCGTAGTGATTGTCGGGCTAAATTATAACAGAATGTGAGAGTGAAGCACAAATTTCCCAACAGCATTTTTTCTTCATATAAGTAAACCTTCAAATTGCTCATAATCTTTGAACTCACGTGTGACCAGATCGAATGCCAATAACTATCGACCAAAAACGGAGCATAGAAATAATGATTTTTCAAATCCAACTAAAAAACATAATCACCGGTGTAGATAATTCCATACAGCCGTTTGCTTCGGTATTTTAACCATAAGATTAGGCAATATATATTTAATGGCAATAAACTGGTATACATAATGTAAGGCTAGCCAGTGGAGAATTATTATTCAAAAACTACTTGTATTTTTTCTCACCAAAGAGTGACTATCCAAGATAATGGTAGAGTAATCGGGGATGAATGTAAGGTTTAACTATGCCCAGCGGCTTTGAAAATGCAAACGCATCGCTAAAGGTGTGTGCAATAATACACACTGGAGAACTCGTGCTTGGCGATCAGATAGTATGCATTGCCATGAGAAAATACTGCAAGCCAGATCAAAACAGAAGCCCAAGAATACTTTCTTTGGTGTAGTTTGATGCTTACCTATGTAGTTTTGCGGTAAATATAATAATATAATAATATAAATATAATAAATAATAAATAATACCCGTACTCATAATTTTGTCTATACACAGGTGAAAATGTAAAACTGGTGTAGCTTCTGTTGTATAAAGAACTTAACGTGAGGTCTTTTTATTTTTGAAATCTGATTCATCTAAGATGAATTTCTCATCTAGGTGTAATATTTATTTGAAAACTTTCATGCATTCTAGCATCACATTCCAAACTCAGTTGATAGTATCGTGACTTCCTCAGTTTGTTTCCAAATTTCATCTGCCTGAAATTTTCATCTGATCCCAGCTGCTTACTTCTTTCACCTAGTCTTTAATCAGCATTTGACTCAAGACAGCAACAAAACCACCACACCAAAGTCTCACTTTGTTGGTTCTGTCAACTGAAATGTAACACATGTTTATCTTCCATTCTCACCTGGAACGCTTCTAATTCCGATTGAGCCTGCTTCAATCCAGAATCGACAATACGCTGTTTCTTTGTGCACGATTCCAAATCTTTACGTAGCAACTCCAACTGCTTTTTCTCCTCCATCATGTCATCTTCAACATCCAGGCGGCGTTCACGTATGGCACATGTGTTTTCGAAATCCTCGATCGGACAGCCGACCGGACAGGAGTCTAAATCCAGCACATTTTCGTCTTCCTCAGATTCATCCTCGGACTCGTCAAAGCTGGAATCATCCGACGAGGATGATCCATCGGATTCTTCGGATCCTGTCAGTGAATGGGCGAAGAATTGCAATACAAACCAACTGGATTGGTAACAAACTGATCCAAAAACACAATCCCAATTCGTCTCTCACAACGCGAAGTTATCAACACTTTTAGCTGCTTTGTTTAACACGCAACATATGTTGGGGCATTTCGATTCCTACCTTTAATGACTAGGCTGTGCTTAAATTGTTCGGACTGTCTAACTCAAATTTGTGGTCAGCTGGGGGACGCAGACATGTTCATAAGGAACGAAAAGAATAGGATTATTTCAATTCAGATCAAAATAGCAAGAGGTGGGCTATCGTCTCTTCGTTTGATGGGCTCTAGTTCAGAGAGAATTTCCTATAACAGGTGAATCGCTCGGTGTAAATTTAGCAATTCCGCTCACACATCATTGTTTCCACTCATGTATATTGCATAATGCAACTAACTTCCTCTCATTACAGTTTCACGCTGTACGGCAGCACTCAGAGCGGCTTTCATTGTTTCGTCATACATCGGGAAGGAGACTGTATTCATCATGAATTTGGTCTTCGCTATATTCTTTCACCTGTTAAGACTTATATTAACTGTAAGTAGGAGAATTTCAGTAAAAGCCAATGGCTGCAATTACGGAAAGTTTTCTTTCTCCCTCGTTTTCAAAGCATGGTGTGAGAAGATGAGCACCTCAATGAAAAAACTGATTAGGTGTGCTTGTTCGACCTTTACGTATTTAAAAACTCAGAAGCTTAACAATTCAAAGTAAGATGATTGTACACAGAAATGGGAAACTGTAGTATTTCAGTGAGAGGTATGTGATCTCTCGATGGTTGCGATGTTTGAAACAACCCTCATTGTTCTTCTTTATAGGGCATACAATTCTACATTCGGTTTTTAGGAAGATCAAAGGCTGCTTTGTGACAAACAGCTACAAGACAGCAACAAAAAAGGCCGCATAATGGTGCATGGTGAGTGACTGAACAAACTGAAAACTTTGGACAAATAGAAGATGGGTTACAGTAGCCAGATTCATACATACACACAGGACCTTCGGGCTGCCGGTATTATGTCCTCGGTCCAGGTGATCACCAATGTTGTTTGATGAACAAAGATGTAAGCTAGTCGTCTCTTGAAGTAGGTCGTATAACAATTTGGGATGAGCACTGGAAACGGTAATAGTCGAGAAAATAGGAACAAATTGGGGCGAAACTTTGCTGAGCACAAACAACTATGGCAAAAATTCATCTCGAATTGAATAGAACACATACTATCAATCCAGTAAACATCCCTTTTGAAGACAAGCTATCTTCTCAACGTTCGATTCAATATGTTTGGCCCAAATCTTGCAAAGTATGACAAACTACTGAATTCCAGTTTTAGTATTGCTGAAATTTATACCAGTTTTGTGCCCGTTACAGTTGATTTTATCAACTGGCTGATGGAATAAGATACAAATTAGTGAAAACTACAACGTCGTGATTCAAAAAGCTCAAATATTCTATGTTGTTCCACCGACTTGAAAAATCGTTTTTTATGCAAAAGCAACCTACCAGCATCTGCAGTTTCTTGTTTCTTCCGCTTGATGCGTTTTTTGAATACTTTCCACAGAAAGTCAGCAAATTTGTGACCTTCGCCCAGACTGGCTTTGAATTCCTCATGCAGCTGATGCTCTTTTTGAGCCAGTTTTTCCAATTCCTTTTTGCGTGCTTCAATTTTTGAGTTCAATTCATTCAACTGATGCATACGAACCAGCGAATCACAGACGAGGGACAATGAAGACCAGATAAGGTGTTTTTAGTATTTGATAGTTACAAGACCCTAGCATAACTACGGGTTAGCCTATTTCGATTCGCATCAGTAAAATGTTAGCCTTCAGTAAAAATGAAGGTACAACTCAAAAGGATAGGATATTTGAACAAAATAAAAGTTTATCAATGCAGAAAAACAATGAGGATTCTGGGTAGGTCCTGCCGACCTCCAGTCATCCTTGACGGTTTACAGCAAAGTTAGGGCAAACGGAACTGCAGTTACGGTTTCAGTGTTTAGCAGGCCATCCGTGCGTTTCAATGAAAAACCTGGCAGTTTCAAACACGTTTCGTGTGAACACACCGAGACAAGCAGATGGTCATCAAAATGACTGCGACAAGCTCGGATCAAAACGATGCTTCATTTTCAGTGTCTTGAAGCCCTCACACTATAAATCATTTAGTAGGAAACACTCAGGGGCAGTTCGCTGTATCTGTAAGAACTGAACTGATACTGCAGTTCAAGTCATTGTTATAATCAGCGAGGTAACAACCATGAGAGGAAGACAAGATTGCTAATCACAGCGGAAAAAACTGAACGAGGACGGGGGTCAATCACCAAGGCAAAGCTGTGACCACCAATTCACGTTATTTGCGTAGACCGGGTTTGAGAGTATGAACGGCTACAGCGTGGGCAAACCTCGGTAACTTTGCGTTTGCTGTGTTGTAAATGACCTGAAACGTGTGGCCTCAATGACGTGATGTATCTGTTCAGATACGTGTTACAGAGTGGAAGATATGCATCATTTTGCCCATTTGATGACGTGAGGGTTTCAGACTTGTCGTCTATCTTAAGCCACACCGGGTTGCATTTGATCACTCTGTGTCGTATCTGCCTCTGTGTACTGCCTATCTAGTTGGTAGAGCATCCATACTTGCATTATAAAATGCAGTTTGCTTTGACTGAGGGGAGTAATGATTCTTTTATAAATTTGGTTGGTTTCCGGGTGACAGTGGAAGTAATGGCCGGGCCAACTGTGTGAATGATGGGCCTGGCGATAGAGTTTAACTGCTTGCTGACCAACTGAGTCATGTAATGGGATTTGTAGGAAAACTTTAAACAAGCTTTCCTTTAAGGAGAATTTGCTGTTTTTTTTTCTTTTGGTGCTACTTCAAAATATCCCGCGAAACGCAGCAAAATGATCATTGATATATTGCGCACACCCATGTTCCTGAATTCTCTATCCAAATTTTTATCGTTTTGACTATTATTATTAATGCTAATAACATTAATATTATCGTTATTATTATATTTGACTACAGTGATTCCGATTCTGAGTGTATTATATGACATTTTTTGAAATCGATGTATATCACTTAACTTAGTGAATCAATGCATGACATCATTTAGTAAATCATAGTCGGAGGAAGTAAAAAATATATAATCCGGTCATTTCATAGTGAGACTGACTTTCGAATAAAGCTCCTGTCTCTCCTCATCTTTGACTTGTTTTTTCTCCGATAATACCATTTCAGACTTTTCAAAGTCTTTCAACAGACGAAACTCTGTGAATAAGGTGATCTGGTGCAACTCAGCTCGTTTGAGCAACAGATCCAACTGGAATCGAGCGTGCCGGGCGATCCGGATCTGTGCGTCAAAACCACGCACAAGTCTTCCGGCTGCCGTAAGTAGTTCATCTCGTTGATACAACGCGTAAAGCTGACGTTGTACTCGTTCTTCCAGTTCAGACGTACACAATTCAGTTTTCCCATTGACAACAGGAACCAAAGTATAGTTTCTCGACTCGATCTCGAGTGTCGGGCTGGTTAGAGGGAAACGTGATCGGATTAGAAAATGCGTTTATTGCAATTCATAAGTTGGGTGCCACTATGTCAAGGGTTTTTGTTTTCACTGACCTTAAAAGTATGCTATGTTTATCCCAGCGCAACAACAATAATAGCAAAAGATGGAGGAATTGCGGTACAAAACAGGGAAAAATCGAAAGCAAGCAGTTACACTGGACTCAGATTCCAAAAATAACAATGCAAGGGCACTAGAAATTAGGAACAATGAACAATTTATCCAGGAAGCATCAGAACATTTTTTTCTCCCGAAATTGCAACACATTTCTTAGTCGCATGCAGTGTACACAGAACGCTAGAAGATTTATGTTTTGTGCTTATCCCCATTCACCACAAAGGGGGAACTTTGTTTTTACTTGCGTTTCACCTCACTGATTTACGATCCCACAGTAATTCCCACTCCAACTATTCCATCTGGAAATCCGTCGATTTTTTTCAGCATGTAGATATCATCCTCCTGAGTGCCTTGAAACACTGTCTGATGTGGAGTATACAGACAATATTTTGCTGTCAAATAAAGAGCCATGTAAGACACAAGTTTCTCTGGATAGTTTGAGTAATAGTATATCCATGTTCGGCACACGCTTTGCATCTTTAAAGAATATTACTGCAGGATTTGATTGGTTCATCTCCCTATCTCACAGTACCAGCCATTGTGATAACTATATCACACCCGGCGGACTCATCAGGGATAAAGTGTCGGCACGAATACATAAGACGCAATTAACATTTGTCACCTTGAGACTACTGTGGCGCCGTCGCGATATCCGGTTGTATGTGAAGGGCCTAGTGTATGCTGCTGCCGTTTGGCTAGTGCTGTTTAACGATTCAGATAATCACGGGAGTAGGATCAAGATAGACTATCGGTTTTTATACATCACTTCATACACCGCATTGAAAGAGCCCGATCGGAAATCTGGACAAACGATGCTGCGTTTAGACGCAGAGCTTTAGGTATTTGTGACCGCTCATGGTGATTGGAACACATGTAATGCATGACG